AGACAAATTGGGCAGAGTATGAAATATCAAGGCTTGTAGAATGGAGGAAATAATATCAGATGTGCAGGAAGGTGCTTCGAAGGAATTGAGCAGAATATTGTTAGTGCAACCACATTTAATGGTTAGGCCGGTGGGAAAGGTAGAGTTGTTAGTAGGTTCAGATTGTTGTCAACTACTCCCAAAAGTTATAAAAACTGTTGGAAACTTGCAGCTGTTGGAAAATCATATTGGGTACTGTGTTAGGGGGAGCTTTGTTGCTAGAGAAGTATCATCAACGTCGTAATAATACTTGTGTCACTTTAAATCATGTCACTGCTAGTATCAAAGCTGATGATATTGAAGTGTCTGCTCTACCGTGTATTTTCCCGAGATAAGGTATTTGATACTGAACTCAAACTGGGCAGTGAAGAATGTGTGTGCAAACAAGAATTGACTAATGATTACACAATAATAGAGACAAGAGAATTAGAATTAATAGAACAAGGTCTTACAATGAGGAGAAAAAAAACATTAGGAGGTTAAATATCCATGGGTGAAGGATCTTATTAGCTTGCCCAACAATATTGGTCAAGCTGTTCATAGAATGAAAGCTACAGAGAAAAGACTACTGAAAGTTGGACCAGAACACACTAAGTTATATCAGGAGCAAATAGATGAAATGATTAGTAAAGGTAATACTAGAAAGATCAAAAAGAGGGAAATAATAACATAAACAGGTCCTAATCACTATTTACACCATCATGAAGTTATCAAACCAGGATCATCATCCACATCAATGAGAATAGTTTTTGATTCTTCATCATGCTATCAAGGGTATCAGCCTCACTCTTATTGGGCTAAAGGACCAGACATTTTAAATATTGTACAGAATGAGACAGGAGAAGGTAGTAGTCATTGAAGATATATCTCGAATGTATCATACCTTTAGACTGAATGAGAAGGATCAGCACACACACAGATTCATTTGGAGAAATCTAGATTTATCAAAAGCACCTGGGCATTGCGTTCTAACTAGGGGCACTTCTAGCGACAAGCCAAGCGGAATCATAGCAACCTTTGCTCTGAGGCACACGGCAGAGGGAATTTTAACTGATTATCCAGATGCTGCTCAAATGATCATAAAAACACTTATGTAGATATGATACAATCAGTTCAGAGTATGGAAGAGGCAACCAAGATAATTAAGGATGTAGAATTTATTCTATCAGCAGGAGGGTTTGTAGTGAAACACTGGGTTGTATCTGGAAGTGACACAAGCTCCCATGAAATTTAATTGCTGGAGACTGACTCAGAGAAAATCTTAGGAATGTCTTGGGATATTAAAGATGATCAGTTTTTCTACAAAGTTAGAATAACTTTTTCCTCCAAACATAAGATCTATACAGAATCCAATATATAGGGGAATGAAATAGAATACAGATTTCCAGCAACACTCACAAGGCACAATGTACTTAGTCAAGTAGCTTCAATATTTGGCCCTTTAGGATTGATACAACCATTTACATTGGCAGTGGCAAAAATATAGGATGGGATAATCCTACAGAGAAGAGTATAGACGAAAGTGGAGAACATTCTTTAGGGATTTATACAAATTGGAGAACTTCAGGGTCAAGTGATTAATCAAATCTTGTGATGCTATTGGGATCCTATTTTGGATATATTTTCTGATGGCTCAAAGCAGGCCTATGGAACAGTGGCTTATTGTCGTTTCTTGACACAATCAGGGGACTATAAGATTTCAATCATTGCATCTAAATGTAAAGTTGCACCTATGAAACAAATTACTATTCCTAGGATTGAATTATGCGCAGCTGTTGCTTATATACAATACAAATCACTTTCTAGCGAATGGTGTTGGATTAAGTCTGAGATTAAGCCTGCGACATGTTAACGCTTCCTAAATATTGTAAATATGGATAGTGACTCAGGCAAAATGGACCACAATTTTTATATTGTCATATTGATTCATGGCCTATACTTCAAACTAAGGACATAGAGCTGCCAGACATGATTGGTCAAACACTAGGAAGTAGCAGTAAGGAAGTAAGACCATTAAGAGTAGGTGACTTGATACCCAATCTCCATATATTTGATTTAAATAGGTTTAGTAGTTATTCAAAGTTGCTGTGAGTGTAATTAGGATAATTGCAACAGGAGAAACCAAGTCTTTTTCTGCAATAGGTAGAAAGATCTGCAGTCAAATTATGCAAGAGGCGGAGCATTTGTGGGTAAAGGAGGTTCCGAAAAAAATATTCAAAGGACTGGCATAAGATATTCCAGAGATTAGGAGTTGAGGTCAACAAAGAGGGATAAATTACTGTGGGGGGTAAGATGAAATCTTGGCTTAGACAGAGTTGGAATAATGAAGCTTATTTATCCCCCAATCATAGATTTACCCAGCTATATGTTTCACACTAGCATCAACTTGATTACTTAGGAGTAGACACAATGATAGCTAAAGATCAGATTTTGGATACCAGGAATACGCAGAGTTGTTCTA